ATAAGTGCTTAACTTGCACTATTACTAAAATAATTTTTACATAATAAAAATTTAAAATAATTTCAACTTCCTTAACATTTTGCCACAACAAATTTTACTTTAGCTCTGCCACTTTTTTTTGAAGTAAATTATAGTTGTTTGCAGTAACATTAAATGACTTTGATGGTTCTTATAGTTAGCAAAACTAAAGTAACTCTTTGACTAGAAGGTAACATGTGTGTGTGTGTGTTTGCGAATTAAGAAATTATATAAATTTTTCACATCAGACATTTCTTCTTTTTATGTATTCTGACCCTATAAAGTCATCTTTTCTTTTAGCTTCTAAGTTGTTGTTTTATGTTTGTCTTATTCAGCATTTTCTAACAATGATTTCTTTGGCATTACAAAAGTTTATAACTTAATTCAGTTTTAGACATACTACTACGAGTAGTCTTACATTCATTTTGAACCATTGTTATTGTTTAATCTGTAACTACAAGAACTCTAGTACAGAGTCATCATCATCATCATGATCGTCATTGTTCTAGTCATCTTCAAATGTTCTAGTGAGCAATATTTTTCACATGTTTTTATATTTTTTTTTTCGCCAAGAAAACTTGAGTTTTTTATTATTTCTGTTTAGAATTGTTGTTGAAAAAAAAAAAGAAAAGTAACTATAAACTCTAATACCTACCACTGTGTAACCTTTTATAATATAATAAAAGTTTTTGGTATAAGAAGATCTAGAAACTCGTAAAACTATCACCATCATTCCATAACACAACATTAAGAGTGAAAGAAAAAATATTGTGAAGTAAAGCGGGATATATTGGGGTAACAGTTAGGGTGATTTATTTGAAGGTAGATTATTTGTGATCGATTGTGATCCTATAAAAAAGATCTACTGCAAAAAAGTCTATTGGTATTAAGTCCCAAATTCCATATCAAAATAGTTAATGTGTTAATCTTTTAGAAAATATCTGAAAACTTCTTCTAATAAAGTTTAGAAAACGCTTGATATTAGAAGTCATCTTCCAATATCTTCTCGAGAGACAAATACTACCACTAATCATTCCGTTCAAAACGTCTATTGAAAATTCACAACAAAAGAGTGGATTTGTTACTGTTTCCTGTGGAAAATTTTGAATTGAAACTGCAAACTTGGTTAGTGGAATGTTTTGAAAAAAGGTCCGTCCAACTGACCGGCATAATCTAATTTTAAATTCCATATGACACATGGATGAAAATTGATACTACGATCCTTTCTTATTTCAAAAATTCGCTAAAGTCCTGCTTCTTTTGCAAGCTAAGGAAACGATAGCCTCTAGATCTTCAGAATATCATCACACTGGTGCTTTTTGTAAACTGATGAGTTTATGAAGAATTCAAAATGCATGATCTTCTAATGAACCTGTAGATATTTTTGGTGAAAAAAATCTTTGATTAAAACTACAATCACTGAGTAGGCAAACTTTAATCGAATGAGATTCAAGTTTTCGGAGCTACTTATATACCAAATATAACGGTTGTAGACCTGATCGAATTTGACAATTCATTGAAATCATCCGATACCACGAATATCAATTGTTTCATTCTACATTTAAAAAATTTGCAAGGCAAAAGTTTGCCTAAATTCGGGTTCATAAGTACGGCCAAGAATCGTCTGTCTCGGGTTCTTCTGCATACTATCACGAGCAAAATTGATTACAATAACTCTTCGGTAACTAAATGGTTATCAATTAGGCCATCAAACGTTAGGAATGCAAATTCAACACAACTGAAGTAACTATTTGTCATAAAGTTTTCACTAATTGATTAATTCACTAGGTACATCTGATCACATAAAATTAATTTATTTCCAAAGTGAATCGGACAACCTTTAATGATTTCAGATACACAGTTGTTGTCTTTGACGAGTACAATAGAATGTGCGTAGCAGACCTCTGGCTAACTGATAATGTCATCAGATTTGATGTTCAGGACAATTCAATGAAGTCATACGATTCCACGAATATATCAATTGTTTCCTTCTTCAAACGATTATTAAACTACGGGTCCATGAGTACGACGAATAATCGACTGGGTGGGACGAAATGAATGTTCTATATCGATTCTACTACTTTTCGTATTGGTTACTGATCAGGTCTCGATTTCTTTTTACAGACATTCAAAGCGGATCTGTCAAAATTCGTGGTAGTCTAGAACAAAACTAACACATTTGTCTCTTCGGAACTTTTTTTCGAATTTACTATCTTCAATCCCAATATCTCATTCTTGTGATCTGCAATGCCAAGGAACTTTTGAGATCCTTGTAAAGACACCTCAAAATTAGAAAGCTGTCAAAGAGAATACATCTTAAGAATGAACTAATCGAATAAAGACTTCGATAGAACATTTCGAACAGCGGATCGTGTTAAAAGTTTTGACTGAGTACCAGTTGTCCTGTTAAGTCTGAAATTGAAACGATTTCACGAACTATGATTATCAAATTAAAATTGCTTGCCGCGCAAGACAACTACTAATGAGTAGCTTTAGTTGAGGGGTTTGAAAATTTATACCACTGTTAGGATACTTCTCTGAAGCTTAACGATGCAACCATCCAAGATTTGGATTATGCGAAACCCGAATGTGAATTAACATAAACTTAAAGCAAACAACTTTGTACACACTTTGTCGAGATCTTTCTCAAATTGAATTTCTTTCCCCCTTAGATAAATTTCACTCAGTGTTTCGCTGCTAGAGTTATTCCATATACATTTGATACATAATTCTTTTTGGTAGTCGTAACATTTGTTACATCCATCTATCTCCATTTACTGAATAAAAGAACATTTCTTTGAGTCCAACATCAATTTCAAATGTAGTAATAAAGAATTTTTTTCTATTATAACTATTTTTTGTTGTTATAACTTTGTTGTTTCGCATTCAACGTCGTCGTCATCTTCTCAATTACATGCTTGTTACAAAAGATCACTTTTGTTCAACACAAAAAAAAAAAAAAAAAATGATCTTGGTCTTGTATTTTGTTCGCTCAAACATTTTTTCATTTTAGTTCAAAGTATTAAAACCACTATAATCAGATTGTTATGTTTTTTTGCTCTCTTACAAAATAGCAATTTAATAGAAAAATGGAAATAATAATAAAAAAATATTTTTAAATCCAAAGTCTTCTTAGTTTAAGATTTAGACTTGGTCTAAAGCAACCATGTTTGGTGGCAAGACAAGACGTGTTCATTCGATAATTTCCAACGGCTGCTGCTGCCATCTTTCTTTTATTATTTTTTCATGCTGCAGTCCGTCCTGGCTTTATGTTTGAGTTGTGTTTCTTTAATACATTTTTACATCAATTGCTACTGGTTACGAACAAAGAATAAAAGTGTTTTCAGATTTTCTTCTTCTTCATGTGTTTGAAAAAAAAAGGTTTTAAGCTTTCAAAAACAATCAATCTTAATCCTTACTCCAGCTTAAAGTGCAACATATTATTTCGAAATTAATTTCAGGCTTTAGAACATGCAACTGGCCAACGCTGAATGGTGTGTAGGCTTCTTTTCTTCTTCTTGTGGTTTTTGTGTACCAAATTTGAACATCTGTATATTTCCGTGCTATTTTTGATTTCCGTTTATGATTTGTAATTAATAGCGACTAGATTTGCTTGATTACCAAGTGGCAAATAATTTGTAGTTAATAGATGGACAGACGTTGCAAAAGGATATAATATGCGAGGGTTGTGCGTTAAGGTGATGATGAATTGGTTAAGTGAAGTTGGATGTGTTTACTTTAAAAAGTTTAAATTACAGTTCTAGTTCAGTCCTAGTTCAGTTCTAGTTCAGTTCTAGTTCAGTTCTAGTTCAGTTCTAGTTCAATTCTAGTTCAATTCTAGTTCAGTTCTAGTTCAGTTCTAGTTCAGTTATAGTTCAGTTCTAGTTCAGTTCTAGTTCAGTTCTAGTTCAGTTCTAGTTCAGTTCTAGTTCAGTTCTAGTTCAGTTCTAGTTCAGTTCTAGTTCAGTTCTAGTTCAGTTCTAGTTCAGTTCTAGTTCAGTTCTAGTTCAGTTCTAGTTCAATTCTAGTTCAGTTCTATTTCAGTTCTAGTTCAGTTCTAGTTCAGTTCTATTTCAGTTCTAGTTTAGTTTTAGTTCAGTTCCGGAGTAGTTGTTAGCGGTTTCCTACAAACGCGAGCTGTTTTGTTTAGTCAGCAATCAGGTCCTCTAAAGTATATATTCCGAATCCTTCTAGATAGAGAAGTTAACTTAACAAAAGAGGTCCGTCTGGCCTTATTATTGTTGAAGTCAAGTTTTTAGAGGCCTCAGATATCCTCGGACCCCATACCCTTTGATCGGACAGTCTTTCACCAATTTTCCAAATTAAATCTGATATAATCGGTCCATAATTATATAATATTTGTACATATATGAAAATTCCTTTCGGGGGCCACTCAATCTTTCATACACAAAAAAATTTTAATAAAAATTAAAAATAGTTGTGGTCCAATTTCTATTCTTTCACAAAAGAATAACAAAAATAATCTATCCATCACTCTCCAGACCATATTAAAGAATTTTAGGTCAAACAATTCCCCAAACACCTGTGACACTTTAAGCTGCCACCAAATTTGGTTCCTTTTAGTCAATCTGTTTTTACAATACAGATACACTCGGTCGTAAGATTAAAAAATCCATAATAGTTTTAAAAACCCATAACTTTTCCACCATACAACTGTGTTGTTTACATTCTTCAATTAATTTTCCAACAAGATTAAGATATTTTACCATTTTTGTAAATAAACTGACAGTTTGGTTTATTAACAAAATGGTCCAAAGACACACAAAAAATCACAAACAGCAAAAAATAAGGTGCTGCAACTTAAATCTTTACCAAATAGCAAAGAAGTTCTAAACAATTCTTAAGAATAATGCCGTAGCCAAACAACGACTGACAGTTTTATTTCAAATGTAATTGTTGTATGTGATATTTGATTAAAGATTAGACAAACGTTTCTTCCAAATAAAGATTTAGAGACTTACCTTCTTCTTGCCATCTCCTACTAATTTTGTGGTGTGTTGATCATCTTCATTTAAACTAGCTGAGCAGGGATCACGATATCTGTATTAAGAAGATGAAGAAGTAAGTGAAAGCCAAAATACATTTACTTAAAATAGAAACAACAAATACAAAATGTTAATAAAGTAAAGTGAGTTAAACACGCAAATATTAAATCATTTAACTATTAAGGAATCACTACAAATTTAACTTTGGACCTGTAACATGTGGCAGAGGTATTGTTGCAAAACTAAATTCTAAACTCACAAGACAAACATCTATCTACATTACATTCTCAGCCACACATTTACTTGTCTATTTCTCTAACTATATTTATACCAGTACATTTATCCATTTGTTGTTTTTCCAAATGTATTCAGTCGTACATCCATCTGGATTTACGAGTAGTAGTATCCTTTTCTTAGTTGCACAAGTGTTCACATCATTGTGTGGTAAAGCCATCACTATTGGAGGGAATAGAAAACCAGCATCATATAACTTTCAGTTTGATGTATGTTTGTGTCTATTCAAAATGATAAACTCAGGTTGAAATGCTTTGTGGGGATAATGGTTTGTCATAGAGTACACTATATTCGGAGGAAAAAATATAAGGAGCCGAATAACCGTTCTTCAGATGAATTTTTCGAAAATGCGATATTTCGAATTTGTTGTAAATTTTTTATATATTTCAATTTTTAGCAGAAAATCAAGCCCTTGTCGTTCCCGTCTATGACAGCTTACACGTCTGCAGTAGTAGACTTCTGTTCCAGTTCAGTTCTAGTTCAGTTCTAGTTCTAGTTCTAGTTCAGTTCTAGTTCAGTTCTAGTTCAGTTCTAGTTCAGTTCTAGTTCATGTTCTAGTCAGTTCTAGTTCAGTTTCTAGTTCAGTTCTAGTTTCAGTTTCTAGTTCAGTTTCTAGTTCAGTTCTACTAGTTCAGTTCTAGTTTCAGTTCTTAGTTCAGTTCTAGTTTCAGTTCTAGTTTCAGTTCTAGTTCAGTTCTAGTTCAGTTCTAGTGTCAGTTCTAGTTCAGTTCTAGTTCAGTTCTAGTTCAGTTCTAGTTTCAGTTCTAGTTCAGTTCTAGTTCCGTTCTAGTTCAGTTTCTAGTTCAGTTCTAGTTCAGTCTAGTTCAGTAAGTTCAGTTCTAGTTCAGGTTCAGTTCAGTTCTAGTTTCAGTTTCTAGTTCAGTTCTAGTTCAGTTCTAGTTCAGTTTCTAGTTCAGTTCTAGTTTCAGTTCTAGTTCAGTTCTAGTTCAGTTCTAGTTTCAGATCTTTCTAGTTCAGTTTCTAGTTCAGTTTCTAGTTCAGTTCTAGTTCAGTTCTAGTTCAGTTCTAGTTCAGTTCTAGTTCAGTTTCTAGTTCAGTTCTAGTTCAGTTCTAGTTCAGTTCTAGTTCAGTTCAGTTCTAGTTCAGTTCTAGTTCATTCTAGTTCAGTTCTAGTTCAGTTCTAGTTCAGTTCTAGTCAGTCTAGTTCAGTTCTAGTTCAGTTCTAGTTCAGTTCTAGTTCAGTTCTAGTTCAGTTCTAGTTCAGTTCTAGTTCAGTTCTAGTTCAGTTCTAGTTCAGTTCTAGTTCAGTTCTAGTTCAGTTCTAGTCAGTTCTAGTTCAGTTCTAGTTCAGTTCTAGTTCAGTTCTAGTTCAGTTCTAGTTCAGTTCTAGTTCAGTTCTAGTTCAGTTCTAGTTCAGTTCTAGTTCAGTTTCTAGTTCAGTTCTGTTTCAGTTCTAGTTCAGTTCTAGTTCAGTTCTAGTTCAGTTCTAGTTTCAGTTCTAGTTCAGTTCTAGTTCAGTTCTAGTTCAGTTCTAGTTCAGTTCTAGTTCAGTTCTAGTTCAGTTCTAGTTCAGTTCTAGTTCAGTTCTAGTTCAGTTCTAGTTCAGTTCTAGTTCAGTTCTAGTTCAGTTCTAGTTCAGTTCTAGTTCAGTTCTAGTTCAGTTCTAGTTCAGTTCTAGTTCAGTTCTAGTTCAGTTCTAGTTCAGTTCTAGTTCAGTTCTAGTTCAGTTCTAGTTCAGTTCTAGTTCAGTTCTAGTTCAGTTCTAGTTCAGTTCTAGTTCAGTCTAGTTCAGTTCTAGTTCAGTTCTAGTTCAGTTCTAGTTCAGTTCTAGTTCTAGTTCAGTTCTAGTTCAGCTCTAGTTCAGCTCTAGTTCAGCTCTAGTTCAGCTCTAGTTCAGCTCTAGTTCAGCTCTAGTTCAGCTCTAGTTCAGCTCTAGTTTAGTTCTAGTTCAGTGCAGTTCTAATTCAGTTCTTGATGTACATGTACTCAGTAATACTATATCAGATCTAATATTATTAGCCACATTTTTCATATTCATTTAATTTACCACAGAAGCATAATGTAGGGTATTCCAAATAAGTATTTGTGGTTTTATACTTTAACATCCCCTGATGATGAGGATGACTGACGTTGATGTTAAAATGAATGAATGGATATATGCATTCGGTTTGAGTGATTTAAATCTTAAAGAGTTGGAAACAAATAAAAGCAGAAATCTTCAAATAAATAAAAATTTATGTAGTAAGCCAGTGGTTATTGATATCAAAGCGGTTCAAGAAAAATTTGGTTTTCAAAAAAAATCTACAAAAATATCAAAAAATACAAAATTTCTGGAACATTAGTAAACAGTTCAGCTTTGATTTCTTCTAAACCTAATTTCTAAAATTGCCTGAACCCTGTTTAACTTTTCCTTGCTTGTTTTGTCTTTGATCATTTATTTTATGGATTTCTATTCCTCCACTGTATTAGTACTTTTGTTTTTTTTTTGTTAGGTTAGTTTATGGCAAATCTTTTGTTATTATTTAGCCATGGACTAAACTTACCTCGATGGACAGGCACACAGTGGTTGGGTGTAATTTAAGCGCACATAGACTGCATTACAGACCTGTTGTATGGCACATTCGGGCAATAAATAAATGTGTTGATTGTGTGGATAATAGTGATATTTTGTGGGTTTTGCACCAGTTACGGGTTTCTGCAAGAAAAGAAAAAGTAAAATATTAAAATTTTATATTTAATAATTCCAATTCATTTTATTTTTTTTTTTGTTATTAATATCACTCCGTTGAGCATGTGGATTTTAAGCGTATTTTCACTTTTTATGAGTTTTTCATTAATACGATTTTTTAATTGAAAATTGATTGTATTCCATCAGGTGTGTGTAATATCCTTGCGTACTATGTTGCAATGATTTTTGTCCTGCTATCAAAAGTTAATTTTTTATGTGTACTTTAATATATTATGGAATTGTCACAAGTTTTTATATTTTTTTTTTCTGTATTGAAAGCAACAATGTGTTTTTGTGGCAAGTAGATATATTTTGTCATATGAAATGTCAATACATAATACCTTTATTTTTACCTTTAAATACCAGATTAATTTTACAATTTTAATTATTTGCGCATATGCTTCATAGGAAATTTTTGTAGGTGGAACAGATAAAATATTTTGCACTACAGTTAGGGACTAAAAATAAGTACTGTTTTATATAGTGTAGTCTATAGTTTATTCTATAGTATAGTATAATCTATAGTCTAGTTTATAGTCTAGTCGATAGTCTAGTTTATAGTCTAGTCGATAGTCTAGTCTATAGTCTAGTCTATAGTCTAGTCTATAGTCTAGTCTATAGTCTAGTCTATAGTCTAGTCTATAGTCTAGTCTATAGTCTAGTCTATAGTCTAGTCTATAGTCTAGTCTATAGTCTAGTCTATAGTCTAGTCTATAGTCTAGTCTATAGTCTAGTCTATATTCTAGTCTATATTCTAGTCTATAGTCTAGTCTATAGTCTAGTCTATATTCTAGTCTATATTCTAGTCTATATTCTAGTCTATATTCTAGTCTATAGTCTAGTCTATTGTCTAGCCTATTGTCTAGTCTATTGTCTAGTCTATAGTCTAGTCTATAGTCTAGTCTATAGTCTAGTCTATAGTCTAGTCTATAGTCTAGTCTATAGTCTAGTCTAAAGTCTAGTCTATAGTCTAGTCTATAGTCTAGTCTATAGTCTAGTCTATAGTCTAGTCTATAGTCTAGTCTATAGTCTAGTCTATAGTCTAGTCTATAGTCTAGTCTATAGTCTAGTCTATAGTCTAGTCTATAGTCTAGTCTATAGTCTAGTCTATAGTCTAGTCTATAGTCTAGTCTATAGTCTAGTCTATAGTCTAGTCTATAGTCTAGTCTATAGTCTAGTCTATAGTCTAGTCTATAGTCTAGTCTATAGTCTAGTCTATAGTCTAGTCTATAGTCTAGTCTAGTCTATAGTCTAGTCTATAGTCTAGTCTATATTCTAGTCTATATTCTAGTCTATATTCTAGTCTATATTCTAGTCTATATTCTAGTCTATAGTCTAATCTATAGTCTAGTCTATAGTCTAGTCTATAGTCTAGTCTATAGTCTAGTCTATAGTCTAGTCTATAGTCTAGTCTATAGTCTAGTCTATAGTCTAGTCTATAGTCTAGTCTATAGTCTAGTCTATAGTCTAGTCTATAGTCTAGTCTATAGTCTAGTCTATAGTCTAGTCTATAGTCTAGTCTATAGTCTAGTCTATAGTCTAGTCTATAGTCTAGTCTATAGTCTAGTCTATAGTCTAGTCTATAGTCTAGTCTATAGTCTAGTCTATAGTCTAGTCTATAGTCTAGTCTATAGTCTAGTCTATAGTCTAGTCTATAGTCTAGTCTATAGTCTAGTCTATAGACTAGTCTATAGTCTAGTCTATAGTCTAGTCTATAGTCGTCTATAGTCTAGTCTAGTATAGTCTATAGTCTAGTCTATAGTCTAGTCTATAGTCTAGTCTATAGTCTAGTCTATAGTCTAGTCTATAGTCTAGTCTATAGTCTAGTGTATAGTCTAGTCTATAGTCTAGTCTATAGTCTAGTGTATAGTCTAGTCTATAGTCTAGTCTATAGTCTAGTCTATAGTCTAGTGTATAGTCTAGTCTATAGTCTAGTCTATAGTCTAGTCTATAGTCTAGTCTATAGTCTAGTCTATAGTCTAGTCTATAGTCTAGTCTATAGTCTAGTCTATAGTCTAGTCTATAGTCTAGTCTGTAGTCTAGTCTATAGTCTAGTCTATAGTCTAGTCTATAGTCTAGTCTATAGTCTAGTCTATAGTCTAGTCTATAGTCTAGTCTATAGTCTAGTCTATAGTCTAGTCTATAGTCTAGTCTATAGTCTAGTCTATAGTCTAGTCTATAGTCTAGTCTATAGTCTAGTCTATAGTCTAGTCTATAGTCTAGTCTATAGTCTAGTCTATAGTCTAGTCTATAGTCTAGTCTATAGTCTAGTCTATAGTCTAGTCTATAGTCTAGTCTATAGTCTAGTCTATAGTCTAGTCTATAGTCTAGTCTATAGTCTAGTCTATAGTCTAGTCTATAGTCTAGTCTATAGTCTAGTCTATAGTCTAGTCTATAGTCTAGTCTATAGTCTAGTCTATAGTCTAGTCTATAGTCTAGTCTATAGTCTAGTCTATAGTCTAGTCTATAGTCTAGTCTATAGTCTAGTCTATAGTCTAGTCTATAGTCTAGTCTATAGTCTAGTCTATAGTCTAGTCTATAGTCTAGTCTATAGTCTAGTCTATAGTCTAGTCTATAGTCTAGTCTATAGTCTAGTCTATAGTCTAGTCTATAGTCTAGTCTATAGTCTAGTCTATAGTCTAGTCTATAGTCTAGTCTATAGTCTAGTCTATAGTCTAGTCTATAGTCTAGTCTATAGTCTAGTCTATAGTCTAGTCTATAGTATAGTCTATAGTCTAGTCGATAGTCTAGTCTACAGTCTAGTCTATAGTCTAGTCTATAATCTAGTCTATAGTCTAGTCTGTAATCTAGTCTAGTCTATAGTCTAGTCTATAATCTAGTCTACAGTCTAGTCTATAGTCTTGTCTATAATCTAGTCTAGTCTATAGTCTAGTCTATAATCTAGTCTATAGTCTAGTCCAGTCTATAGTCTATTCCAACAACCAATGACTGAAAGCAACACTGTTTTTTTAATATCATGGAAATTAATTTATTAATTGAAATAATATTAATTTCTATTTTAAAAGAAATATTTTATACTAATATTATCTTGTAAATATGTATCTTGAGTTGCAAATTGTGATTATTTTAGTTAAGCTTTCTCTAGTTGATGTGAAAACCAATTTCAGCTGCTGTCTTTTTTTTTTTTTTTTTTTTTGTTAAACACATTCACTGGGAAATTATTTTATTTTAATAATACAATTAATTAAATGCTGCCAAAGCTACTCTATTGTGCTTTTTTTCTTGTCTTTTAACACATTATTTATTCATTTATTTATTGTGAAGAGAAATTATTATTTAACTAATAAATTAGTTATAATATCGATTAATCTAAGTAGTATTATTTTTATGCTATTTGATTGCATAAATTTCACCTGTGTCTTTTCAATACATTAATTGTATTTTGTGAAAATTTAATTGAAAAATTAAAACACATTTATTAAATGTAATTGTGAAAATTTGAAGACAATATAGAGAGAAATAAATTAATAATGAAAGTAATTGTTGTACATTAAATAATAGTATATAGTATAGTCTATGGTCTAGTTTATAGTCTAGTTTATGGTTTAGTCTATAGTCTAGACAAGAGTCTATTCTGTAGTTTGGTCAATAGTCTGGTCTATAATTATAGTCTATGGCCTAGTCTATAGTCTATTCGCTAGTTAAGTTTCAAGCCCCTCAATTAGTTACTTAAATTATTTTTAAACCAATTTAATTCTTATTTATTCTCTATTTCACTGCAACAGCTACTACGTAATGAATTTTAATGTATTTCTTTGTTTTAATTTTTAGCAAATTTCCTTAAAGTTTCATTTTTTTTTTACCTTAAACATACACATTTTTTTCCGTTTACATTACACTACTCGTAATGTAGTTTTAATATCATTATACTCAAATCAAGACACGATTCTTTGCTATTTTTGTCTATCATAAAAATAAAAATCTTTTAAAGCAAAAAGTTAAAATGTGCATAAACATTTTACACTCGAGTAGTGGTGAATCGTTAAAAATGTACGAAAATAAAACTAGTTGAACATTTCATACAACTTACGACTACTAACCTAACGTCTTCGTTTTCCTATTAAGGAGCTGAACTTTAACCTTTTGTTGTTTGTATAGTACATATTTTCAACAAAATGTAGTAGTTGTGCAAGAACTGGGGGACGCCTGTAGGAGGGTTTGGAAAAAAGTGAATATTTTTCTTTATTTTAATATGCAATTCGTGCTGTTTTCTCCGGGAACATTAAGTGTGTGCAACTTTTTTATATGGTTATAAAAGCGTAGTCAATGGCGAGGAAGGAAAAAGTTGAAAAAGAAATCGCGAGTTGAGACTGACTTGAAAGTTTGATTCTTCAAATGTAAAATAGATTATTTTTAAAAGATTTTGTTTCTTAAGTCATAGTCTAGTCATAGTGAAGTCATAGTGTAGTCATAGTGTAGTCATAGTGTAGTCATAGTGTAGTCATAATCTAGTCATAGTCTAGTCATAGTCTAGTCATAGTCTGGTCATAGTCTAGTCATAGTCTAGTCATAGTGTAGTCATAGTGTAGTCATAGTGTAGTCTTAGTGTAGTCATAGTGTAGTCATAGTGTAGTCATAGTCTAGTCATAGTCTAGTCATAGTCTAGTCATAGTCTAGTCATAGTCTAGTCATAGTCTAGTCATAGTCTAGTCATAGTCTAGTCATAGTCTAGTCATAGTCTAGTCATAGTCTAGTCATAGTCTAGTCATAGTCTAGTCATAGTCTAGTCATAGTCTAGTCATAGTCTAGTCATAGTCTAGTCATAGTCTAGTCATAGTCTAGTCATAGTCTAGTCATAGTCTAGTCATAGTCTAGTCATAGTCTAGTCATAGTCTAGTCATTCTAGTCATAGTCTAGTCATAGTCTAGTCATAGTCTAGTCATAGTCTAGTCATAGTCTAGTCATAGTCTAGTCATAGTCTAGTCATAGTCTAGTCATAGTCTAGT